AAAGGAACGGATGGGCTGAGGAAGGCAGGTGCGGCTACAGCGCACATTTTGGGACAGGTGGCTGCACACGCTCCTCCTTCGGCAGTGCCCCAACAGCTCCCCCTCTGTACCCCAACACCGATGTTGCTTCCTACGATCCTGCGTCTGAAGGCTACTTGCACACCCTTCCACCATGATTTAATAGTTTGAGGTTTAAACCTGAAATTCTAGCTATCTCCCCATTTCCCTCCCCCTGCAGCAGCTTCAGAGGAACAAGCATTTACAGAATCCATCCACGGGTGAGCGGGGAAGGCGTTTTCCACTTTGACTTCCCCGAGATGAACTCCCGAGCTTGGTGCCACGACACTGTGTTCCGGTGAATTAACCACCAGACTAGAAGTCAGAGCTGTTCCGCTGCCAGCTCTGCAACTGTCCTTTCACATCACGTTAAGAAAGTCACTTCACCTTACGCTCTTACGAAAGACGTGCGACACCCAAGCATATGGTTTCTCTTTGAGGGCAACCCTGAGGTGAGCCTGCAGAGCTGACTCGGTTGCCACGCGATCAGCTACAACTAAGAGGGCAGAGGAAAGGGTTCGGGTGTGCACGGGCTTTTTAAAGGCTGCCCAGCAGTTCTGCAAAGAGAGCTGATGCTGAGCAGTGCTTCTGAAGACCTAAGGGCACCCTCTGCCCCCAAACACAGTAGAATGGAGAAGCTCACCGCTACCGTTATAATGTCCCTTTGTTTTGAGACGTAACACCTCTTTGTTTTGAGAAAGTCTGTGAAAACTCGTCAGTTGGAATGAAAGCCTAGAGTCCCAAGTCCTTTGTTGACTACCTACTGTTGTATATTAAGGGCATGACCCAGACTATCAAGGCTATCTCTTTTAGGAATATTTGCATCACTTAGATTCCCACTTCAGGAGCAAAGATCTCCTGCTTGATCTGTAAATGAGAAATGCAAAATGATGATGAGAAAAAATTAATCTCTTAACACTTGAAGGAGAGCCGATGTACAACGGCAGTAAAATCTCAGGCTAGCTGTCAAACAACTATGCACACAGAAAAGCACTTCTAGCTTTGTCTGTCTCTACACGCATCAGAAGGATTATAATGGCCCCAAATCAGAAAGGCCTGGAGGAGATTAAAAAAACCTCACTGCCTCTGTTCTATCAGTTTCAGATTTTAACGGCCGAAAAGCACGAGTCAGAACTAGTCGAATCGTCAGCACAAGGTCAGCAATGAATTTTTACTGCACAATTTTTCCTCCGGGTAAGCTACAGCATGTCTTCTAGCAAGAATCCAATGTGATAAAGTACCTGCCAGTAATGGAAAAGTCCACTTGTTCAAACTTCTAATCCTTTTGTTGTTTAAAAAGCTGTGCTTTTAGTTTAGATTTATTCCACTGCCTTCTGTTGTAACGCTTACGAGGACTATGTATGCCCGTGGGGATCCATCCAACTTTTTAAACTGGACATACCCTTCTCAGCTCATGCTGGGTTTCTACGAAGCAGGACCCTTTAGCTTCTTCTAAACTCCTGAGGCACAGCTTCATATTACAGATAAGTCTCATTAAAAACGCCGATTGTGCACCAAAAAGCAGCAGCGTACTTTTTTTGATGATGGTGACTGTCCCTCCTGTCCCTCAGTATTACACCAAAAGTGCCCATGATGTGACCAGGGCAATGAACTGTTAGTGCTCCGAGAGAGGGAATGCTTCCCTCATCTTTCACGAGTAAGGAGGAATGTTTCAAAATTAGTATAAAGGGTGCTCTATTTTTAGAGAAATAATTAAAAGTCTTTTTGTGCCGCGTTTAAATGTTTCACACGCTGAATTAGCAACAGGAAGCGCGTGAGTTTCTGCTGTCTTCCAAAAGACTGACATTTCCTCCAACAGCAGCATGGTACTTCGGGCAACTCCGTGCAGCAGGTACAACTACCTTTAAAAGTCCAAAGTAAGAAAGGCTAAATGTATATAAAATGTGTTGTAGGAAATAACTGAAGTGATCTCATACTAATACACAACAGGGTGTCTAAACGACATCTAAAATTATCTATAAATAGTTGTTCTGAGTTAATTTCAATTGACAGAAAGCAAATGTAATAGTACTTAGCATAAATTAATGAAATAAAGGGTAGTTTGCTTCACTTGGCCCTGAATTATTAGACACAAGCAGTTTGTAAGGAAAACAAAATTTACCAGGAACACAACTTTGAGCAGAATGTCACAGATTTGTATATAAATGAGGCAAAAAGGACTTGACCACACCACGGGCTTGACCATTTTGTACCTGAAGTGGAATAAAACAATGGTTTTACTGAGGCATTGCTAATTATCAAGTGTTAAACCTATGGAAAAGAAAAGCAACCAAAACAAAAGGAAGAGAAGCAGAGGGCTATTTTACGAAGACGACATCTCATTAGGTCACAAATACCTAAGCATTGCTAAGACAAGTGGCACGATTTGCTAAAAACGTGAATGTGTAAATCACTGGGAATACAGGCAAACCAAAAGCCTTCATGTCTTTCCTCAGACTCTTTAATAATTTGTTTTTGGGGACAAACACGCGCCCTGCCGTTCTGAAGATCGCATGAGCCCACTTCAAAAGGTACCAGGAGAGCCTGGCAAAGGGACAGAACTACAGCAGACATCAAGCACTCATTTACATTTTAATAGGCTATAGCTCTTTACCTTTTGGGGACTCCAGCTTGAGATAAGAATTTAAATTTAAGAATTCGTAGGGTACATCAATAGCTACTATTTGTAGCCTATTATTCCAGTTACAATGCAGCCGTTTGTGATTTTTACAAAGCACCACACGCTTTCAAAAGCGAGTCCCAGACTGAGCTCTGATGAAGCCTCGAGAAGAAACTTCACAAAAAAACCCCAAAGACGGGGCACTTTGTAGCAGCAGTCGGGCAAGAGACATTTCTAAATCTGAAGAGAAGTATTGTTTTAGTTTGTGAATCATCTGTTTACAAAAGATTATGATAAAACGACGCCTGTCTCCCACTACGATATCCTACATTTCTTAACGAGAGTTTTACTAACATTCCTACCAATGCAAGATTTAAGGTTACTGTAACTTTCTAGCTTCCTTCCACCAGTATTTAAGAACTACAGATTAAAATAACCAGGAAATAAGTGGTCTTACCTACAAATACAATCCCACAACAAATCACATTCTAGTAGCTAAAGGAATCCCCCTCACACTTGCAGAACTTGGGCAGTACAATGGAGTGCTTGCTGCCTCTGAAGTCAGAGGATCTAACGTAGCTGCACGCTGCACGAGTTCAAGGATTAAGGACCTTGTTTCTGTAGCAATTTGCTGGGAGCATGTCCGTTCCTTAACTAAGAGAGTCACGCAGGGAGAGGTGAGAGTTGTTCTGCTGATAACAGAAAGCATGCGGAGAAATACGAAAGAAATGCTCCATGAAATAACCCAGCCTAATTCAGGTTTTGTTCAGCAAACTGGAAAGAACGCGGGAGTCTAGACACTGTGATCTCCTGCCTCGCCATGAGCAGGACAGGGCTGCCACCGAAAAGTCAGCATAAAACAAATATGCTGGATAGTCACTGACCCAGCTAACTTCCCGTTCTATTTCAAAGCCTTCGGTTTGTGAATGTCAGCCAAAACCCGTCACATTTTCTGTGCCACCTGGTATAATAAGATATTGCTTCATCTACGAATCTTGTCACTTAACATTGAATCTTGTTCCCTTACGTTAAGGGAAACTTAGCAGGAAAAATACTTCAGTACTGAACTTAAAGAGACTTACAGAAATGGGGTCTGTTATCTGACTTATCACATGAAGCTGCATTTGAAAAAGATAACAGCCAGCCTTGGCCGTATTCACAAAAGCATTTATAGTTTGTTATGATATCACAAAGAATAACGTTCACTTTAAGACTGAGATAATCTTGGTGAGGACAAGATTTTTTTTTTCATCCTCTTACTGAGGCCTGGATTTTTTTTCACCACTTGTCACTTCTTTGCTTTCCCAGTATCTACAAATATATTCCATATGTAATGATTCTCACACTTCAGGCACACAGGTGTATTCAGCAACTATTTGCAGCTGAAAATTATATAACCAGTACTTTTGATTGAAATTTTGGTACAGAAGGACCACAGAATATTGCATTTAGTAACCACGAGCAACCCACAGGTTTTTCCAACTGTGTACCTCCCTTGCTGCGTAACTTTTACAAACCTCTACAATTCAACAGATTTTAATCCTGAACGATTCTAAGATGTGACTCTCATTATAAAAAGCCCCACCCAAACCACAGAAATCACTGTTTGTCCTTTGGCAACACACAACATAAACCAGTCCGTGACGAATCAAGTCTGTGGGAGTACGCCAAGTGACAAAACAATTTACACAGGTACTATAAGGTGAAGACTTCACCATCAGATACAGAACTCATCCATGTAACTGTAATACACACACAGTCCTGCAATTAGGGGTGCCATTTGGTGTATGTTCTGCAAAAAAAAGCCCCCACAAAATCCTAGCAGAAGCTAGGGGAAAGGAATCGAGAGTTATTTGCAACGAGACGTTGTCAACGACGGGCTATGCAGTTCAACGACGCCTACAAAGACAACGCTTCGCAAGCGGCGGCGTGACCTTCAGGCAGCCTAACTTCTGTAGCAAACAGCCAAGTGAAAAGCTGAAATCAAAACATTTCTCGAATGCTGATGTCTTCGGATGGAGATGTTAAATGGTGTTTCTGGTAGAAGTGAAAATCAAGGGGAAAATCTAACGAAAAGTATTCTGAGACTAATACTAATGGGTGGACAAACAGCAGCTGGAAGAATACACTGTACTGCTTTTTAAAATTTCTAAATGCGCTCTTAAAATTTATCCCCTCTTCCAACCCATGCTAATACCCTAGCAGTAAATTTGGTCAAGATAAATTTCGATCGGTAGCTGCAGAAATTGGCGATGAAAAGGCAGGAGAGACCTTTAAGTGCATTAGTCAGTCCTTTTTTTTCTCCTTGCTGTCACAAAGAAGAACTGGTAGTCAAACCAGAGAACCTACTGAAAAACCACTGACGTGTATCCAGTTATTTTAAAAAGCAAGCTGTGAGATGAATGGAACGTAAATCTTTGAGCAAGTTTAGATAACCAAGGATGGAAAGGAAAAAAAAAAAAAAATCTTCAAAACTGTTGAGTTTTTCCTTTTGTACTGTAAGCTTTTGGAACATGTTTCATGCTGGGCACACAGCAGAAATCAAGGGCCATTACCTTTTAGGACCTACACATGAAGATAACTGAGGACATAACGCAGGCTGGAGCCAGGCTAACAGGCTGACCTTTTCCTTCAAACCTATAGCTCAAAAGAGCACTCAACTGTTCCAAATTCACAACCATGAAGAAGCCGGGTGAATGGGCAACAACAGTTGGGAATGGTTTTATGTTTGCTAAATTTGAATGGTCATGGAGATAATATGGACTCCTGCGCTAGGAAAGCGAATCTCCTCATGCCCCTGAAGCAGGACAAGTCATTTAAACAATTCTTGTTTGGGCATTTTCAACAGCAGAAAAGAGAAGATAGCTTTGCTCTGGTTTTGCAGTCAATTAACTCAACGGCGTGTGGGCAGAGGCGGCAGGAGGGGGTCTAAAGCAGCATAACTTACGTTAATTGTAACCTGTTCTAAAATCTTTTTTTTTTTTTACTTGTTTGTCAAGTCAGCCTTCAAACGGGGAGGTATTAATAACGGCCATGGTAGTTGGAGACGTGCTCTTTGTGCAAGTCTACGTCTCAAGCTAGATTAGTCTGTCTTCTCTGTGTCCAAAGAACAGTATTAGGATATTCATTACAGAAAAAAAAAAAATCAAAACCCAAAGTACTGCTATCACCTAAGCTCCTCCCCCATTTATAAGAAAATTCCAGATTGAGATTTCTCACAGATGTTTATCCTGCAGCTTCCTCCCACCACACACGCTGATGGTACTGATTTGCTGTTACGCTGCGGTATTCCTTTCGCTTTAGTTGTCATTATCCACTGGCAAAACAATTATCCTGCAGGGTTTGTGGAACAAAAGTAGTTCCACAACTGCACAATATAATTTCATCTATCAGTTACTGGAGACCAATTCCATGAGTCTCAGGTCAATGCAACTTTCCTGATATGATATACGACATATATCACTACTTGTAGTATTTAAAAGCACATTCTGTCATTCAGCTGTGACACTATTTCCTATCTGAAAGAACAGCAGCGGCTTTACTTACCCTGGACTTGAGGGAACCTTCCCAATTTTCATCCACATACCTCCAGGACAGCTCCTGCATAAAGCTGTAATAATAAAGAGAAGCTGTTAATGACATAACCCCCCCTAAATTACTAGTTTACTGATGGTGTCTTATCTGTTGAACTATTTTTCTTTGAGGAGGCAATATGCAGTTGTGTGGATGGTAACGACAGAGAAGTAAGATCCTCAATAGAACCACAGTTCCAGACCTGTCTCTGATTTATGCAACAACTGACTCTTCACCCAAGATACATGCTAATTTTCATTCATTATATTAAAAATGTAGAAAGAGGAAAAAGAGGATCATTCAAGATACACTGTTGCTGGAAGCAAAACTTCATTTTAAAAAGAAAAAGTAATTGGACACATTACGATGGAAATTATGGACTAGTAATAGGAAAACTTTATGTCTTCCTCCCCAAAGATGCTAAGAAAGTCTTATTAGGCAAAATTTTAGTTTTCATTTTAATCCTAACATGGACAGTGAGCTCCTGTTTATAACAAAGATAAGGCAGTGACTTCAGAGTTCCCGTTTGGGCTGACTTGTTGGTTCACTGTAGAGAATCGTGCTTGCAGGAAGAGGCCAGATCACATCAAGAGGCCTCGGCTGCAGCAGTCCGTACCGGCTGGGCTAACTTTGATGCGTGCACTTCGATGTCAATCACTGCTGTTAGCGAGGCAAGATGCTCAGATTGACCGTTTTTAAAGCAAAGTATGAGTTCATCTCGATGTTACGTAGCGTCTAAATAAAAACACCTATTGAACTTGTATACTGCCACGTGTTTTAAAACTTTTTGGGGTTTTTTTTGTCAACATGCAATTGATTCTATAGCTTGCTGACTCTTACGTAGAAATTAACAACATCTTTTTCCAGCTACTAAAATAGAACTTGATGCTGTGAAGTCGGGCATTTTAATCTTACACATAGTTGTCAATACCGTGTACCAAATCACGTCCTTCTAGCCCTGAAACGCCACTGTTGGTAGAGAAGCTGACAGAACAAGCTTCAGTTAAACAAAGTTTAACTCAATTCATTACTTTCTATAAACAATTAAGACCTCCGCTTTCGCGTTCTTTTAGACAATGTTTTCATAACAAATGTGCAAGTCAGGACATGGAAGAATATAACCTTACTGAAATGAAGTAAATTCACATTTCACTTAAAATACGGACTGTGAATACATGTAAATAGAAATGAGCTTTCACTGGGAAATCTAGCGAGTACTAAGCCTCTGGAAAAGGAGTGACAAGTCATAACAGCAAACCACACACATCACAGCAGAAATCTTAAAGACAATTTTATTAAGGCTTCGTCACCTATCTGCGTAGGCACTACGGATAGCCAGGAATACTGCTTCACTTCAGGATCTGAATCTTCTGAATTCAGTTCCAACTCAGTATCTGCCTAAATACTATAAATTAGAACATAAGAAGTACTCTACTCGTTTGCAGGGAAATGACAACTTCTTTCCGGACATGACCTAATCAGTAATCATTACTTCCACGGGAAACAACGAAAAATGTTACTCAGCGTTACCTGTTCAGTCCAGCATCTCAGAAATTTGATGAACTACATTTACCTTTTCAGCCAGACATTAGGTTCCAGATAAAAACTAAGATTTGACTGTTAAAACCAAGAACTGCTATGAAACAGTACTCGAGAGATCAAAAATACCAGATTTTTTTTAAAGCTTTTTTTCACCGCCCAAATTAAGATTTTAATTAAAAAAGGCACTGATAAACAGCTCAGATACTAGCTTGCATAATTAAAAGTTCCTCTGGACTTAAGACATGAAATAATTACCAAGATGGAGGGAACATGGGATAGGAGATTATAAACTTCACTTACCTTGTCTCTATTCATTATTCTTTAAAACATTCAACAACAATTGTATCAGCAATCCTAGATTTAGATACTAGTTTGAACGCTCACTAATACACCGAACATTTATATTGGTTCTCTGACACAGACAGGCATTGGCATTTTTCTATCAAGAAGTTAACATAAAGAAGTAGACAAAGGAATAAATAGCCTTTTTCTATGTAGTTAACTGATTATTTTATATATATGTATAAAGAACTAGGTACACCCAAACTTAGGACAACGGTAAAATGAGCAATTTTCATATCTTATTGCCGCAAATAATTCCTACCGTTTATTTCTTCCTTTCAAACAAGGATTTCTGTGGGACAAGGTCACTGTAGGAATCTAAACAACATAAGACATCTTGTAAGTACGCACCACGCCCCGTTTGTAACTCCCAGCCAATGTCTGATAGAAGTAACGTTGAACAAAGAAAACAGCTCGATCGTTGATGTCTGTATTTTGAGCTTCTGACTCTGCCCCAACTGAAGCCCAACTGTGCTGGTACAAAAAAAGTTCAGATTCACGCTGGGACAAACAGCTGCTCTCTAGCTGGCTAGACCCGAAAAATCAATTGGCTTCATTTATAACGCTACACAAAGGTGTCTTTTGCAAGAAACACAGGTTTATCTGCATCACCCAGCCCACCACAAAAGCATACTTGTTGGTATCTGCTGCTGCTACCATCTCATCGTGTCCTCCAAACTCCCTTGTGAAGGCGTTTACTGTGCTCGTGTATCGCTAAGAATGACGTGTGGCACTCCGCGTGGAGGCTGCCAACGTGACGAGTCACTTCATCACACAATGCTTAACTCATAAGTTAGTTCCTTTTAAAATAATGCTCTGCTTGTTTTAGTGCTTATGAGTTTAGTACTACCAGCAAGGAAATAAAGGCTCTCTAAACTATTCCGAGCATCCATTTGAACATCCAAAACAAGCGCTGTTATGATTTCCAGGCTGATTCATGTCTGCATCTATAAAAATAACTTGGCTTTTTAAAAAACATCTTAATCGTATGCTTTCTAAAGCTATTGTGACAAAATCTGAGCTCTTCCCTCATCAAAGCATCAACCTGAGTTTGCAAAAGCTTTTTGTAAGCACCTGAATGTCTGGTAACAGTTTGTGCTGAGGTAATGAAGATGGCTCTTCACATCTCAGAGGAGGAAAACCACACTATCAGTCATGTCTGCTTTAGTGATGAAGTGGTAATTATAATGGAATCAACCACCATTTACACAAGAACAGCGTTAGATAAAAATATGTATTGTAAAAATAATTGTTCCAGCAATTAAAAACAAAGAGCCTTAACTTAGGTGAAAGAAAACATTCCACCTGTTGGTAGGAAGGGAATGGAAGTAATTTCTGCAGACAAAATTCCAGCGGTGCTTCATTCACAAACAGATACAGTATTGTTATCACAACTACTCAGGGTGAAAACTCCAGAAGAAAAATGACATCCCTGCTATGAAGCCGGTACACAACTGTTGAGGCTGACAACCAAACGCGAATTCGGATCAAACCGAACTGAAAAAGTGGGCCTTAACGGAGACTGCTCCTTGATCGCAATAAAATGCTGTTAGGCCAAAGGTGACCAAAAAAGCTTCCTAAAAATACCGTAAATTATCCCTAGTTTTACTTCTATAGCACCTATACTTTGCACACTGTTTCTTCTTACTGACTAAGCCTGACCCTGCCCACGTTAAAGCGTCACGCAGACTGGATTTGTACAGCTGTCTGCAGTCGGCTGAAAAAAAATCACAGCACCTTCATGTCTTAAAACATGCAGTGAAAGAGACTGTTCAGGTAAAGCCACACGATGGTAAGTAGCTGTCTTACGGTATCTGGATTCCCCCTGAGATCTACAGATTTGCCTAATATCCAGTGGGTTGAAAAAATAAAGTTAAGCTCTGAGAACAAGCAGTAAAACACAACTTATGACCACTTGCCTCAGTTACAAAACCATCTTCCACTAAATAATTACCAACGACTAAGCTCTTTCCAACACAAACCATTTTTGTTTTTATGAAATTCATTGTCATTTTTATCTCATATTACTATATAAGCAAATCTGACAAAGAAATCTCCTCATCCCCTATCAACCCATACTACTGTTTTACTTCAAAGTCAAGGAAAATACAGGTATCATTATTCTTCCTGGCCCAAGTTGTTTGGCATGTGCAAATCGGCAGCATCTGAAAACAGGGCGTGTGGCCTCTTTTTTGAAAGGCATGCAAATTGATTGTTAGTGTCCCACCCACCCAGGAAGCAAACCAGCAAGTTAATAACTGATATCTGTTGTTCTGAGAAATGAAGCCACAAAGAAAAGCGATTTTGCTGCAAGTTTCCTCTGCTCTTTCCTAAACTCTTAGAACTACCAATTCATTTGTTACTTTTACTGCAAAACTAGATTAGGTAAAGGAATATACACTGAGATATAAACTACAAAATATTTTCTCTTCTCTGGGGGAGTGAATGCAGGGTATTTGTACGGACAGAAGTCTTCAAAATCACTGTAGTCTTCCCCTTCCCTGGGGACAGAAAATGAGCAAGACTCGGGGGGTTAACAGAGAGCAGGCAGAAAGCCTCACTGCTGGGAACATTATGAATTACTGTTCTGTAATGCAGAACACCAGTAAAGTCACTGCTACACACGCACATCATTCAGAACTGATGTCACCAGTAAATTTAGCAACAAAGAAACTGGTCCCATTCACAACCCATTATCCTGTGAGGGGAGATCTTCTAAATAAGAGTTTGGAAACAAAGAGTCAAACAGTCAAACCGCAGTTATCTGCATTAGCGCTGTTCCTGCGATTACTGGGATGTATTACAGGCAAATTCCTCTGGACAAAGCTGAAGCAGAATCTAAGCTCTCATTTATTTGCAAGGAAGGAAATTCCAACTGATTGTAAGGGTGGAAAAAAGTCACAACGAGAGTGTTTAAGCACTGAAATAATTTACTAAGAAAGGTTGCAGAATCTGTATCCTTGGAGATGTTCAGAACTTCGAGTTCTGCTTTGAGTAGGAGATTCAACTTTTTTCTTCTGTATGTACATAACAGTTCTGCATTACTGTTACAATCTCCAGCATACAGAAAATGTGTCATCCAGCCAAGTGTTTTATTTTTGGTGTTAAACAATCTCCTCCTTGCAGCACACTACGTAAACATTTTCGCTCTTT